ATATATATATATATATATATATACATACATACATTCATTAACGGTTGTTACTACATTAGCTGTTGTTTTCTACATTCGGTTGTAACAGCGCCCAACCCAACCACAGGAACGTCTTTGTACGCCGCCTGTGCGTACAAGAACTGACAAAAGTAGTAGGTGAACTCAAGGAGGTCCCTGATCGATGTTTAAAATTAGTCGGCTGGGCGGGACGTTGTTCAGCACCGTGCATATGTGGGTAATATTCAGTGATTTATACGAATCGATGAACAAATATAACGTTTAAAATACTGATTTTGTATCAATTTCCAATCCATCAGTCTGAAGAAGCGCGATCGCCCTCCGAAAACGTTGTCCATTATCAAAGTAGATCAAATTTTGCACTAAATTAAAGCTAAATCATATTTAAAATTAAAACAACGTTTATTAATTGAATTTCAAGCTAAACATATTTTTAATGCCAAATTTCGGCTTGGGAATTCCATAAAAAAAACATGCAAGGCTAAACCATTGCCTACCCGGTGAAACTTGTACTGACAACTGGCGATTATTACTCGTAATAAAAAAAAAATCATATCCCGTTTGAAAAGACAGTTCTAAGTCTCCCAGTGTTGCACATGAATACGCCGCACTTTGATCAATTAAATAATAAATAATAACTCAAAACTGAAGCTGATTTGTTTTTAATGAGACAAGTTATTGTCTTTATCTAAATTTTACAAGTCAACCAAAAATATACATCTCTCGATTTGAAGGACCTAGTAGAACGGCAGAACATACAGTAAAGATAATGCTCCATTGTATACAGCACAGGTAGAGATTAGCCTAGAAAATTGTGAGTAACCAGCCGTGCGCGAGGAAGAAAAAAAAAAAGATCGGATACCTACCTAGATCTAATTTTTATATTTAGGCCAGATGTAGCGCCGACTTGCCATGGCATTTAAGGTATATTTGAAGTATACTGTATTTGTTATTTGAAATGCCAATGCTACGGTACGATTTTTATTTGGAAAACTTATTGAAGCATCAGATCTTCACTTTAGCATAGTCCCGATCGTCCCAATCATTAACATGCACGGCCTGTGCCTACATTATGTACTAGTCTGGGTATGATTTCTACTATTACTAGGCCTAATTATTTTAAGCTATCGTTGGATTTGGTAAAAATATCGCTTATTATTTTATGGATGAAGGAAAATAGAAAAGAAAATGATATTCCCACTCGTTGCTTTTTCACTAGATCTTCCGTTCTCAAGCTCTCCTAATTAAAAACATTCTGGATACGCCTAGCAATTTTTATTTGGGTGGGTGGTTCTGATCGAATATTTATTTTATTCATGGAAAAAGTCTGTTATAAAATGACTTGTTTCTGTTTACTAACTAACTAACTACTAAATTATTTCCGAGCCACTGGGGCTCATAGGGCTTATCCCCAGTTTCTGTAGTGTGAAGCGGATGAGAGTTGTAATCCCCCTGGACGGGACACTACTCCATCACAGGTTAGTCCCCAGCAGATTGCTGATACCCATTGATACAGCTGGGTGGACTGCAAAGCAATGTAGCTGAAGTGCCTTTCCCAAGGACACAAGCGAATCTGCACAGAGGAGACTCGAAACCCCGACCTTACGAGTAAAAGTCCGAACCACAACCGCTGCGCCAAACTGCCGCTTCTGTTTACATATTGATATTGTTTGAGTTTGAATTAATTTGAACGAAAAAGTTCCTTTCATTCAGTTATATGAAAAAAGTGTCTTTGGCGGGATTTGAACCTGCAACCTTCTGTTATCATGGCGAGTGTCATGCCCATTAGACTACGGAGACCTAAGGATATAATTGCAGATCTATACCTCAGGCACTTTCTCTCAACAACAACGCTCATATGGAGCTATAAATAAGCTAGAATAGCGTATGGTCGCAGCTTTGAAATCATAGTAACTAATAATCAAATTAGATTTACTGCGTAAGAATGTGTTTTCCGAAAATCATATTGGTTTTCGTGAATAAGGTTATAATTATTTGTTTAAGTTTTTCATAACATTTGCCTTATTATACCCATTAGATACTCGCCTAACAGAGCGGGTATTTGAGTATTTTAATTATAATATAATAATAGGCCTAATATGTATAGGCTATGTATATTGTATATATGTAATATACTGTACTTATTTATTATTCTTTTAATCTTACTGGATCATTTGACCGTGTGTTCATTAGGGCTAATTAATTAACGTGATTATTTGTGTTTTCACATGATTCGCTATAGCAACGTAACAGCTTAGGTACACAAACAGTAAAATACAAAGAGTATATAAAAAGGTTATATTTATACCGTTATGTATAGAATGAATGATTGCTAGATGGATGAATGTATTCGGTTTGAACAGCAAGGAGAACCTGCGAAAGAAGACGTACTTCCATTGGAGTCCTTCTGGCGGTGATTGGGTAGAACACCAGGAGACACTCCCCTACGTTTCCGAAGAGCGTAATGCGTTCTTTAACGTGCACATGGGCCATATTGCACATGGACCACCAATGGTTTAAAATTCTCATCCAAAAGAAAAGAATCTACAATACAATTCAATTGTATTAGCTATTAATGCCATCTAGGGGAAATATCTGCATCAACAATATATTTACAATAATTATAACTATTATTATTTTTAACTATATCAATCAAATTCTTCATTCATCAATTCATCAGTAAATTAGATATGAACAAATAAAAAATTCAAGGGTGATATAGTGATAAAGAGGATGAAAAGGACCTCCAAGAAACTCCAGGGAACTTGTTAAATAGGAGGCCCATCAAAACTAATGCTTTTAATGTGAGTGAATAAAAAAAGGGAAAAAGAGCGCTAACCTAAAAAAAAACAAAAAAACTAAAACTAAACAAAACAAAAAACAAAAACAAAAAACAAAAGCTAACCTAACATACAAATGAAAAGTTAAAATTCAACAGGGGCAGGAGTGTGGTATTTTCCAGGACAACCAATTTCTCTATCTAGTTGACATCAGAGGCAGAGAGGTTTGAGTGTTATGAAAAAATAATAGGCTAATGGTAATGAGAACAAAAATCCTACAATTATGTGCAATAAATACAAAACAAGATAATAATGCACTTATTAAATAAGAGAATTAATGGACCAATTCGGTGGTCTAGAGGTAGGGCCTATGATGCCAGGCTAGTGATCTGGAGATCGTGGGTTCGAATCCCACCCGAGAACAACTTGCGATTTTTTTCGCAATTGTTTTTACACGTACTGAGTGTATTCAGTACATTTGCAAGTCAGACAGGGCAACATTACACCTATACTTGATTCTCCTGACGCAAATCCAGTTATTGTCTACCGTATTCCATCATGGCAATAACAATCATTATCAATAAAAGGTCCAAGTTAACTTCCTTGGACCACTCCATTTTCGATAGGCAGTTTACTTGCGGTAATACCCTTGTAAGATGTACACTGAAAACGATTACTAAAATAAGATGATTAGCAGCCTATTATAGAACATGTTACTAATAATATGGTATAACAAAATTAGAATATAATATTATATCATAATTAATGTCGAAATATTTAATCCCGACACGATGGCGTGCATTTCGATACTTGGAGTATGTATTATGCTATCATATTATATGTTAGGAACTTACAGGTTCTGTTGTATTAACTGCTTGTGTCGTTGTTTCTCCATCCATTCTGGTTCCCTGACTTGATCCACCGTCATCATTCGTAGCCGAAGTTAGGCTGCTGCTGGTAACCATGTTGTTTTTATCATCTTGAGTGTCTTTATCCTTCGGTGGTACATAATTTGAGTCAAATTTATCTCTGAAGCTCTCGTCTGCTTCTTCTAGTTTACTTTTCAGTACAGGATTTAAATTACAGATCGTTACCGCGGGAAACGGCAGAGTTTTGTTATATCTAACTTCAAGGCCAACTATGTATTCGTACGCAAAATAGGCTTCGAACAACGTGTAGACTTGCCAAAACATAAGGCAAAGCCCAGCACAGAATACCATACCCCAGAAAAGCTTGGCAACAACATTTCTCGAAGAATATATATTTGGTAGTCCGTGGGATGATGAGTTTTTAAGTAAGTTGTGTACAATTGGCAGAACTTCGCCATCTTTACTTGGCTTATTCGACATCTTGAAAAGGAAAAAAAAATCAAAATAATAAAGCTATTAGAAATATTCTGGTTTCAGAAATATTCTAGTTTCATCCCTCTCTGTTTTCAACGGATTTTATTTTTCAATTTAAACTTTTCCACAAAAATAAGGTCCAGTATTTAATAACGCCAGTGTGTA